ATATATATACATATATATACACACACACACATACACACACATACAAGCACACACACGCACACACGCAAATGATAGATGGGTGCTTGTGGCAATACGGCTCAGAAAAGATATTATTATATACGTAGAGACAATAACAGGCATCTGTCTTTAATTTCGCCAAGCTAGTTGAATTTTTTTGGGGACTTATCCACGTTTTTTCAACGTGCACAGTGCATATCTCTGGAAAGGCTGAATATAATATATATTTTTAGCGCACATATTTTATTTTGAGTTCCTTGTTCTTCACTCATTTGTTGTTTTTTTTCTCTTTTTTTTTGTCTCTCCAGTTTTCCTGGGCGTGTGCTTTGTGGTACGTGCGATATTTTTGACCTACAAGAACAGAACGTTACCGAAGATAGACACCAGTGGAAAGACGGTGGTGGTCACCGGCTGTGATTCAGGTAAGCTTAGAGTTCTTGAAATACCTGGAGGTGTCATCTCTGACTCAGAGGTTGACCTGTAACGACCCTCCATCTTTCACGGTCGCGAACTGCCGTTGCACATTCTGCCATATCCAGTCCAGTCCATTTTCTTAGTTGTCCGTCCACGTCATTCTTTGCCTTCCTCTAGCTCTCCTGCCCAACATCTTTCCTTCAAGCACCTCTTTCACAATGGTCTCGTGTCTTTTTAAATGGCCGTAGTATTATAATTTTATCTTTTTTTATTTTGCTCAGCAGGGTCTGTCTTGTGTGTAGAATCTGAAACACCTCTTTGTTTGTCATATTTGTTTTCCAATTTATTTGGCCATTCTACCCTAGCACCACATCTCGAACGCATTTATTTATTGTACGGGTGGAGTACATTATTTATAATGTTGTGGGGTGTCTATGCGTGTATTTGTGTGTGATTCAGGTAAACTATGATGAGTGGCGTCTATGTCTCTATTTGTGCGTATTTGTTTGCACGTGTGAGTATGTGTGTGTGTGTTTGTTTGTGAGTATGAATTTCTGAAAGAGAGAGACTGGGAGAGAGAGAGAGAGAGAGAGAGA